ACATAACCTATCACGGACTTGCTCGAGGTCTTCATTATGAAAAAAATACATACATGTCCTAATGATTGCATGTTATTTTGGAATGACAATGAGAAGGCAGAGAATTGTTCTGTGTTTGGGTCTTCGAGATGGAAGAATGTTACTGATCCCTTGACTAATGAAAGCTCTAAAGTCCCTGCAAAGGTTTTAAGATACTTTCCCTTAAAACCTAGGCTTAAGAGGAAGGCTTGAGAGGATATTCATGTGTTCTGAAATAGCTGCAGCTATGAGATGGCATGCCACTAAACGACCCAATGATGGAAATTTAAGATATCCTGCTGATGGTGAAGCTTGGAAAGATTTTGATTCCTTGCATGAAGACTTCAATAGAGATACTCGTAATGTTAGATTGGGTTTTTCAAGTGATGGTTTCAATACATTTCGAACCATGAGCATTTCCCATAGCACATGGCATGTTATGTTAATGAACTATAATTTATCACCATGAATTTGCATGAAGCCGAAGTATATAATATTGTCTATGATCATTCCTGGTACATCATCTCCGGGAAAGGATATAGATGTGTACCTACAACCACTAATTACTGAATTGAAGGAACTATGGGAAATCAGGATGGAAACATATGATGCTGATTCTAACAAAACATTTCAAATACGTGCAGCCTTATTGTGGACCATTAGTGATTTTCCAGCACTAGCAATGCTTTCTGGATGGAGCACTAAAGGGAGATGGGAATGCCCAACTTGTAATCATGACACATGTTGTCAATATCTCAAACATAGTCGTAAGATGTGTTACTTGGGTCATCAGGCAGTTTTGCCTCCTATCATCCATTTCGAAGAGATAAGAAATCATTTGATGGTAAGGAGAATCACAGAACAACAACTACTCCATTATTAGGTATAAAAGCCTTGGAAGAGCTGCTTGAATTCAATAATATGTTTGGAAAGGGCCAAAAGAAGAGGCGTCAAGATAGTGAGGGTCCGTGGAAGAAGAAATCTATTTTTATTTGAATTGCCATATTGGTCACATAATAAATTGCGACACAATCTTGATGTGATGCACATCGAGAAAAATATTTGTGACAGTTTACTTGGGACTTTATTGGATATAACTGGAAAAATAAAGGATCATGTAAATTCTCGATATGACTTGCAAGAGATGGGAATACGGAAGGAGCTTCAACAAATAAAAGATAACAATGGAAAAGTTTATTTGGCTTAATCTTGTTTCTCCATAAAGACAGAAGAGAAGAAGTTGTTTTGTAGTGTTTTAAAAAATGCTAAATTACCAAAAGGATGTGACTCAAATATATCACAATGTGTGCAAGTGGATGAGATGAAAATATCAGGGTACAAGAGCCATGATGCTCATTTTATAATGCAATACTCTCTCCAGGTTGCTGTCAGAAAAGTGTTGCCCAAGAATGTTTCTTTGGCCTTAATTAGGTTGGGGAACTTCTTTAGAGCCATATGTAGCAAAGTTATACGGCGAAGAGATCTTGATACAATGTAGTTTGAAATCAATGAAATTGAATGTGACCTTGAAAAGATTTTTCCTCCTACCTATTTTGATATAATGGTACATTTGCCCATCCATTTAGTAAATGAGATAAAGCTTGGTGGTCCGACGCATCTTCGTCGGATGTATCCCACTTAGAGAAACATGTGTAAGTATAAGGTATTTGTTCGTAATCGGTCTCATCCAGAAGCATCAATCATAGAGGGATGTTTAGCCGAATAATGCTTGAACTTTTGTTCGAGATACCTACATGATGGGGTAAAAACAAGATTCAGTAGGTACCAATATGAGAATGATGAGGGAATTGAAACAGAGGGAGATAATTTGTCACCTATATTCCCTAAGATAGGCCATCCAATTAGAAGTAAGAAGAAAAGGAAAGGCAAGACTTTTTCTATGGATTTACAGTTATATTTTGAAGCACATCGATATGCTCTATTCAATACTAGAGATGAACAGGTTGTCACGGCCCATCTCTATAACAGATCGTGATGGCGCCCAACACCGTTGTCAGGCAAGCCAACGTGAAAGTATTAGTAAATCCTTATTTTACTTACCCAAAATAGTTACAACATTTTCTTAATTTACGATAAAAAAATAGGTGATAATATAAAACATTCGATAATAATTATACAACCCAAAAGGAACGTCTACTAATGTGTGTGCCAAGACCCGGTGTCACAAGTTGTGAACAACTAGTAGAATATACAAAAGAATAAATCTCTCGTACTGTCCAAAGTAGAAGAGACGACAAATATAAATAAAGAGAGACTCCATCATGCTGCTGAATGGCACAGGAAGGGGCAACTCACCATGGAAGTCTCGGACTATGAATCAGGGGCGCGCACCAGATTGATAGCTAGATGTACATGCCTCAGATCCTGTACAATTAAGTACAGAAGTGTAGTATGAGTACATAAATAATATGTACCCCGTAAATATCCCGTCTAATCTCGAAGAAGTAGAGACGAGAGGTCGACTTGATACTTACTAAGGTCAAATAATATAATGAAGTATTATGCTAAGCATGGGAGTCACAAATAATTAACAGTTATAGCAAGAGGTAATAAGTCATGTTCTTAACAATTTTACAATCAGCCATTTACATTTCAAATATTTAGCAGATCAAGTCATGGATAAGATTTCACATAGATATCATGCGTACATTATGCCGAGGTCGACGGCACGATCCAACAAAAAATAAACTGTACACTGCCAGAGGGTCGAATGGCGCGAACCATAGATGCATCTATTTCTACCGAGGCAATCGACCCAATCCACAAATATCAATAAATATCAAGAAAACACATGAAGGTGCATTCATTTTCAAAAAAATTCATATAAGTGCCCAACAAGTGTATACATTCGCTTATATTCCTTTCCAAGTCTCTAGCTTACCCTAAGTGATCACATTAGCAAGAAAATATAGAGACAATCACAATATAGCATGGTACGGGTCCTAGACTACCTGGACAATTAACGTAATAGTAGCTACGCATGGACTCTCGTTACCTAGTGCGCACGTAGCCACCGCATTTAGTAGCAATTATTCAATTATTATACCTATGGGAATAATTCCCTCTTACAAGATTAGAAAGTAGACTCACCTCACTCCAAAGTGCTCTTCCAATACCAAGAACGAGCTCGAACTCTCAATTTGGAGCCGAACGATCCAAAATTAGTTAAATGAGGTAGGAACTAGTCAATATAAGCTCACAAGATCACATTCTAGCTGTTTAAGCAATTTACCAACCCTTAACACAAGTTTTCTAAAATCCGACCCCGGGCCCATGTGCCCGAATTCCGAAATTTCTCAAAGGATGTTTTCCTCTATAACCTAAGGATCAATAATATATTATTTCTAATTCATTTCATAATAAATTTCGTAGTTAAATCTAACTTTTGTCAAAACCTTAGGTTTTGCTCTAACCCCATGATTTTGCCTTAATCCTAGTGTTTAATCTACCTAAGACACACGTATTAGACTAGGAATAGGTGGGAGAAACTTATATCAAGATGCTAGGTGGAAGTCTATTCTCAAACGCTCCCAAAATCACCTATGGAGGAGTGAAAAGTGCCAAAAATGACTTAGAACCCGTATTAAATGAAGCTCACTACTTCAGCGATTTCCGCACATGCTGTCCCGCTTCTGCGAGAAATTGGACGCACCTGCGGAACTAGCCAAGCAGGCTGCGACCGCTTCTGTGGTCTTGAAGCCGCTTCTGCGGAGCCGCTTCTGCAGCTTGGGAGCCGCTTATGCAGTTTTGGCCTGGCCAACCCTGGGCCGCATCTGCGATAGGTGGACCGCTTTTGCGGTCTTGCACCTGCGGTCGACCAACCGCAGGTGCGGTTATGACAGAAGTAGATGCTTCAGCACTTCTCAAAAATTCCAACTTCACTCGAGCCTCGTCCGATTGACGCTCGGGGCTCCCGGGCCCCGCCAAAACATACCGACAAGTCTGAAATCATGAAACAGACCTACTCGAACCTTCAGAATGCCCGAAACAACGTTAAATCTAAGAATCATCCCCTAAAACAAATTGAATCCAACTTATGAACTTCAAGCTCTAAAGTTTCCTCTAGCGAGCCGAAACGCCCTTAAACTACTCGGATTGACATTAAATTTTGCGGACAAGTCTTAAATATTATATTGGACCTGTACAGGGCTCTGGAACCAACATACGAGCCCGATACCTGTGTGACCAACCATTATTTAGTTTCTTTAATTCCTTAGAATTTCAGTTTAACAATTTCTAATAAAAATTCATTACTCAGGCTAGGGACTTCAGAATTCGATTCCGGGCTTAAACCCAGGCCCCATATTTTCCTACGGATCCTCCGGGACTGTCAAAATACGAATCTGGGTCCGTTTGCTAAAAATGTTGACCAAAGTAAAACTTAGCCTTTTAAGAAAATCTTAGGAATCAAATGAGCATATTTCAACCCAAATCCTTTCAAATTCCCGAACCAACCATCCCCGTAGGTCATAAATGAGTTAAAGCAAGTGCAGGAAGTTTTATTTAGGGGAATGGGGTTCTAAAATGCAAAATGACCAGTCGGGTCGTTACACAGATGGAGAACTTTATCAAGTAAGATAAGATATTTAATTGTCACTTGTATGTTAAACTTTATTAATTTACTTATATGTGATAGAAATATTTTGAACGTCATTAATAAAATTTAATTTGAAACATTTCATGGTTGCAGGGAACATAAGAGTTTAATTGACAATCATACTATATCAAATGCATGGGTGCGAGCATGGAATCATAACCAGGAATTTAGTAATTGGTTTAAAAAGAAAGTTAAGACTATTGAAGTGCCAAGTCATTTACGATGGCTAGCTAAAGGACCTAATATGGTGGCAAAAAGATATAGTGGATATTTCATCAATGGATACCAATTTTATACGATGGAACAGGATACCCGATTAAAGACTCAAAACTATGGTGTGACTTTATCAGAACCAACCGATAGTTTTGCTAGTGATACGGACAAAAATCCCATCGATGGAGAGGTTACCTATTATGGAGCTATTCAGGATATTATTGAGATTAATTATTGGGGTTGTTTTAGTGTTGTATTGTTTAGATGTGATTGGTTTATAATGAAATAGATGGATATGGGTTAACTCGGGTGAATTTCAACAGATTATGCAGTACCGATGACCCCTTTGTATTGGCATCTGAAGTGCATCAAGTTTTTTATGTGGAGGATCCAAATGAGAAAAATATTTATTATGAAATGACCAAAATCTCTATTGATTTGTACGATTTAGAGGAAGAAAATTGTCCTAATATTGGAGATACATTTTGGAGTGAGCTCGACGACGACATTGATTCATCAAATAGATTATCCGATGGTGACATCGTATGGTTGAGAGAAGATGTACCTGGTGATGTTGTTGATATGCCATCTCATGCACAACACTCATAAGATATGGAAACATCAGAAGATGAAGATGATTTTGATGACACTGATGGAGATTGGATGGTTCCTGATTATTGAATATGATAACATTAGAAGAGTTATCTTTTGTATTTTCTTCTTTTCTTTTTTGTACCATTAATTTGAAAGAGAATAGAAAAGAATGATACTTGATCTGATCTCCTTTTTTGGTTATTCTGTAATTCAATTTTTGTGGATTGTAAATTAATTATTTTTTCCATGTCAATCATGATTAAATTCTGAAAAGTGTGATATGTAATTGGAAACGTGTGTTGGTGTCTTTACTTGTCATTGGTTGCCTTGGTCCTCATATCTTCACTCCTCTGTTAGACCATCATAATAACCTTTTATGGCTTCTTACCTTTTTTTTCCAGGGTGTTGCAAATTAGTTACGTGAAGAGAATACTGCCGTTATTGAATTTGTTGGTGTAGCTAAGAAAGATTGGAGGTAAGAGTAGTTTTCCCTTTTTTGAAATGTGATCATAATAGTATAAACTATTGGAAACAATAAATAATTTGCTGGAACACCATCAAATACTTCTGCTGATATCTTCATTTCAAAGATGAAATAAACTTCTGAACTTTTGATTTGTATGGTGTCATCATCTCAAAGATAGTTTTGCTCTTGATAATTTTCATTCCCTCTTTACCACCATTGCTACTGATATATTTATTTGCTTCAAAATTGTAGTCATGATTCAAGAAGGGACAAGACAAAAGGAAAAAGTGAAAAGCTGGACATTCGCTCAAGCTAGAACACTTACATCTTTGGCAAATCAAAAAGGTTGTTGCGGACTAGAAAAATGAATAAGCTAGTTCTATATGGTTAACTGAAGAGCGTTGGGTTCTGAAAAATATAATGGAAGAACATCAGCAACCAATGCCACAACATCAGAGGGTAGGAGCCCATTTGCAAAATGATTCAACCACCCCTACAACACATTGAACAAGGTAAGAACATTTAGATTTTACATTAAAATATTGACATCCTATATCTATTTTACTAAATTGGAGGATACTTTTGATTTGTATTATTGTAGGATCTTGTACTAAAAAAAGATAAAGAGGTAAAACAAGGATGTTAAGTGTACATGAAAGGAGTGAACGTAAGTTAATTGTGGTCAATGAGTATGGTCAACCTGTTGGTCCTACTAAAAGTGTTGTGATGGATTTTGGAATCTTCCTCGGTACATTGACAAGGAATTCGACCTTTTGTTCTCTTAATATATTTGATTGGAGGAAAATTAACACAAAAGATGATTTGTGGGAATATACAAAGGTTCTCAGTTCTCAATTTTATTTTTGGTTGAATATGCTTAATATTTTTGCACTAACCCATTGAAACAATTTGTAGGAAAAATATAATATTTTTGATATTGCAAAAAAGTGGACTCTGGAAGCAATTCAAGGTGCTTGGATAAGGTATAAGAGTCAATTGAAAAAGGATCACTTTGAAGCATATCATAATGACGAAATTCGAATGGAAAATAAGCCTGAAATTTTTTCAGCATATCAATTTAAGGAACTTCTCAAATATTGGAACTCTGATAAACACCAGGTATGTTTTTGAGAAACAGTTTCATTTATGTTAACTTTTGCCAAGAAATATTCATGAAGGAAAAATAATTCTTTTCTTTTATGACAATTTCGAATTGAAATTTATTATTTACTTGCAGAAAATGTCAGCAGCTAGTATTGAGAATCGAAAAAAGTTAAAGGATCCACACACTTTTGGCAAAAAAGCTTTGCTATAGTCCGCAATGATTTGGTATCTGCTCTTATTTATCATTAAATATGAACTTGTTATTATTTTTAAGAAGATATTTTATACTACTTTTAATGTGTCAAGGGATAAGAGAAAGAAACTTCTGATCAACTATCACTTAAGGATATCTTTGTGGTTACAAGAAAAAGAAAACCCGATCGAACATACGAGGAATCGAATGAAGATACAACTAGAAAAATTGTGCGAATTTTTTTGTTTCTATTTTGTTGGGATGAAAATATGTTCATATTGACTTTCTCTTTACTGGAATTCTCTATTTTTTGTATTATAGGCTGAAATGGAGAATATTGAAACGCAACAAAGCGAAAATGGTGATCAGTCAATTAATGCATTTGCATCAATCATGGACCTAAACATCTGGGAAGTTAGAGATTGTATGGGCGGGGGGTTTCAAGAACATCTTTGAAAGGGAAAGTGGGATATTTTGAACCCTCTTCAAATGCAATAAATGATCACATGCAAAAGATGGAAGAGAGGATGATAAGATTGGAGGAAAAAATTGAGGAACAAAAGATAATGATGAGACAAGAAATTGTAGAAGATATCATAGCAAAACTTCAACATTCTGGATTACCAATTGATGCTATTGGGTGAAGCTTCCTCAACACAAGAAACAGCTATTCAGTTAATTCACCGACCATCTCTTGGTAGCAACAATCAAGGTTAGAATCTTCGCAATCCTATAATTGATGCTTCTAAATTTTAGATTGTACAACTAGAAATCTGTATTTTTTTAATTAATCCTGAATTTAAAGTGATGAGTGCTATAATAGTGTATGAGCTCGATTAACTACTATCATTGGATCATTTTGTCTACCTGCTGAAACAATCAAATTTTGCTAGTTTTTCTTCATGCCTGGTGATGTTTTCCGACTCACCACTGCCCGACCTTCCTCTTTTCATTTTGTGCAGGTACTTTCTCCAAGTGAGTTGTAACAGACTTGCCTAAAGCATCAACAACATGTCCAAATTTTCCTGGAGAAAGCACCTGTCCAGCTCTTTCTTCCACACCTACCTGTTGCACAGCAATAGCTATAGGAGCTGCTGGTTTTTTAGCAGCTGCTTGTGTATCGTCCTTATGTAGAACCTGCTCGCTTCCATCCTTCAACACAGCTGTTTTTGCACCAGTAGTGGGATGATAAGCAGTGATATAAATAGCATGTTTAGCTACTACCTTAACACCTGTAGTCATTGCGTGCTCAACTCCAACTATTATTTGCTGATTGTTGCTAAGTATGTCCTTAGCAGCAGCAGCTGCTCGATCCTCAAGTTGTTATTGTTTAACACCTGGAGACTTTCTTTAGCTAGGTGATCAATTGACATATGACCAGCCTCTATCTTTTGCTTGATCATCATTGCTACTTGAATTTGCAGCTACTTGATCACATTCCTGCCCAACTTTATTTCCTTCCAGTTGCCTCGCAATTCTAGCCTGCACCTTAGCCTATTTCCTTAAAGTTGCAAAATTGCCAAGCTTCAACATGTGCATTGTTAAGTATATTTGATTTCACCTCCAAAGCAGCAATATTGTCAGGAAGCTGCTCACCAGATTTACCAGTTGCTAACACAGCAACAACCTGATAATTTGATCCCACAGTAGCCAAGTCTTGCTCCTTTTGTTCAACAGTTGTAGTATAGGCCTTTTGCACATTCACCTCTCCATCAGTCACATACATAATAGCACCCTCACCTTGGGCACCAATCCTATCTGAAGTAGTTTTATTTTGTAAAGCAGAACCCACAGCGTGGTAAATCCTTGCTAAAGCAGTAGCAGCAGGGATATCAGCAGGAACTTTAGACTTCCAAACAGTTTTCTGTTGATCTATCCCAACCTGCACAGTTTCTAGAGCATCAATACCACTCCTAACTCCTTGATTCATCATTGCAACCCCTTGTTTATTATTACATGTAGTAGCTCGATTCAAAACTACACCATGACCAACGACACCATCTGGAACAATCTGCCCAGCACCAACAGTCCCAATTAAACTAGGATTAAGATTGTCCTTCTCCTTTGTTAAACTTGCCTCTAATACATGTGAAGCTCTACCTGTTCCAACATCAACCAAGCTCCCGTAGATTTAGCAAGCTCCAAATTTTGTTGTTTCTTTGCATTCAAAACATCCCTGGCATCACCTTGTAATTTTTCTATAGGTTGAACATCTTCCTCGACCTCGTCATTAACACATTGAGCTGCTGCTACTATTTTTCTTTGTAAACTACGAAAATATATCTCCTCATGGCCTTGGCGCTTACAATGGCAACAATATGATGGGACTGTTGGCACTTACAATGGTCTTGGCGCTTACACACACATATTTACTATTATCATTGATGTGATCTTATAAATTTTGTACTTTAAAAATTAGTCATCTAAAAGTAGTTACAGTAGTAAATAGATGAAGTGTTGGTTAAAGATAACCTCAATTTTCTTACTTGTTGAAGTATTGGTTGAAGATGCTTATTTTTTCCTTACCCTCTAAATACTGTTATGTCTTTTGAATTTGTAGGTGAAGAAAATGATTAAATTGGAGATTAAAACAGTGAAGACCTTACTTAAAGAGTATTGGTTGATCTACACCTTCAGATATTTTGGGACTGTTCTTATTTTTGAATATTTTGCAAACTTATATGCAATCTAACTCTTGAATTGTTAGTCAATATTCTCTTATATTTGGATAATACTAGTTGGATATTTTGGATGATGATTTTGTTGATGAATATAGTTTCCTTTCATAGTTTGTATAAATTCTAGAGTATTATAGTTTACTCCATTACTATAGCTCATAAAAATTATTGCAATAGTTTGTAATAAATATTGTAATAGCTCGAAAAATCGTTGCAATAGCTGAAATAACTAGTACAGTAGCTTGTAATGACCATTGCAATAGATCATAATAACCGTTACAATAAATAAATTAAACTTTATCAACAAACTGTTCCAGTAGGTCTATGCCATCGGTTTTGCCCCATTACAATAGTCGTATTGAACGGTTCATAATCGTTGTGACATCTTTTAATAATCATTATTTTAGGCTACAGTAAGACCGTTGCGATACATACAGCTATGACCACGACTCCGAAACCATTGCAACAGACCAATTGCAATGCCTTATCTTGCAACAGAGCCCAAACCGTCGTAGTAAGACTATCGCAACGGTTTTCCTATTTTTGGCAACAATTTTATCGGTGTTGACATAGGCCATTTTCTTGTAGTGTTTTAATATCAGAGGTATAAGAGATATAGTACAATGACCATATTCTATAATGGCTCTACGATAAAGCCAGTTAGAAAAGTACCAGCCTCATAAGAAGTCAGTATGAAACTCTTGCTAGATTGTGTATGCACCCGAGGTGCAAGTATTATAGTAGAATTTCAAGGTGTGGATGTGAATTCCACCTATGTGGAAGGGAGGTTATGAAAGGGACGGGAGGCATGATATGAGATTTAAAGGTAAGTAAGGAGAAGACAAATAAAGTATGAGATACTCAAGTACATAGGGTTATGAATAGTCCAGACATTAGATAGAGGGCTGGAAGCGTCGAGATTCCGTATCAAGAAATGATAGTGGTGTCGCTAGTGGAATATCTTCTAGCCTATGGTTTCCAGGTACCGGGAGATCTAGTTAAGAGATTATAAAAGAGTTAGAAATGACGTGATTTTCCGCTTGAGGTTCTAGAATAACATAAAGAAATCTATGGTGCTAGCAAGTTAAAGGAATATTGCGATTAGTATAAATATATATGTGTAGGTCGCAAGATAAAATATGGGCGACAAGGTTTTAGGTAGACAGGTATAAGGATAAGAAAAGGTGAGTGAGAAGGTGGCGAGAATAAGTAAGTCCTTGGGATTAAACCCATCAAACAAGAGAGCAGATGGTTTTCATAAGTTATAAAAAGCTCTATATAGCTTGAATAAACTCAAAAGAACTTAAGACTAGGGAAATTTAGAAAAGATGAAATGTTGTCATGGTAGTAGAATAAGAGTGTAATTGTGATAAATTATAAGAGAATAACATTTAGGACTTTGATTGAGTAATAATTTAAAGAAAAGGGATTTCATAAATTGCACGGGATTAGAATACCTCCCCCCCATAGGATGAACCGCATGGGGATGCCATGAAATACGGTTATTGAAGTGTAGTATCACCCCTTAGTGGATCAGG